GTGGGGGGAGAGGGGGAAGGATTTCCAGGCTAAATAAGATGCTGAGGGCTTTTACCTCAAAATTTTAACTTACGAAGGAAAATATTCTCTGGGGGACTGAAATTTGGGGGGGGGGAAGGAGAGGGGAGGGAGGGGGGGGCTAGTAACCATGATGGTAAGCAGTTAGGTGGCTGGTGGACCAGTCAATCGACAGTCAATCAGGTGGCTATAGTAAACAAAGGCAGGTGGGGAGTCAGCTGATTTATGTAAATAAAGGCAGGTGGGGAGTCAGCTGACTTATGTAAATAAAGGCAGGTGGGGAGTCAGCTGACTTATGTAAACAAAGGCAGGTGGGGAGTCAGCTGATTTATGTAAATAAAGGCAAGTGGGGTGTCAGCTGACTTATGTAAACAAAGGCAGGTGGGGAGTCCGCTGACTTATGTAAATAAAGGCAGGTGGGGAGTCAGCTGATTTATGTAAACAAATGCAGGTGGGGAGTCAGCTGACTTATGTAAATAAAGGCAGGTGGGGAGTCAGCTGACTTATGTAAACAAAGGCAGGTGGGGAGTCCGCTGACTTATGTAAACAAAGGCAGGTGGGGAGTCAGCTGACTTATGTAAACATCTTGGCGTCCTACACAGAGTCAGCTGATGACAGCTGGTAAGGCTGCGACCTATTCTAAATCACTTTTCTAACCTTACATCTATTAACTTTACCTATTATCGTGCTTTTCTCTTTATGTCTGTCTCTGACTCTGACACTCTGTCTCTGACTCTGACACTCTCTCTCTCTCTCTCTCTCTCTCTCTCTCTCTCTCTCTCTCTCTCTCTCTCTCTCTCTCTCTCTCTCTCTCTCTCTCTCTCTCTCTCTCTCTCTCTCTCTCTCTCTCTCTCTCTCTCTGTGCTCTCTTTGCCCAAGGATATGTCATGAAATAATTCTTGTAATTGGCCAGTGCTCATTTATAAGCAGATTGCCCAGTTCTCTTTATTAAAAATGTCAGAGCACTTATAACAAATCAATCTTGTCTCTAAAACACTAATGTGTAAGAGAATTCCAACAAAAGTTTTTGCTTCGTACTGTATATAAGTTTTAATAATTTTTTTGTTGTATCCGAAGAAAATCCTATTGAAGTAGGATTCGAAAATCAATACGTAACTTCTTTTCTGTTTGGTCCTAATCGGTGGTACACTTTGTTTTTCTTCTGTTCAATGGTTCGAGGCATTTTTGTTCGCCTCGAAGCGATGGAGAATTATTTACTGACTTCATCTATGACTAAATTTTTCCTTTGGCGTTAATGCTATGTACTTATTTTGTATCTTTTTTTTTTTGCCTCGGACAGAGGCTTATGACTTTATTGTATATATTTTTGGCTCGAGTTGAAGCATTGAGGTAATTTATGCTTGATTCGATCCTATATACTTTGAAGTTCATAGGATTCGATTCTATATACTTTGAAGTTTATAGGATTCGATCCTATATACTTTGAAGTTTATAGGATTCGATCCTATATACTTTGAAGTTCATAGGATTCGATCCTATAAACTTTGAAGTTTATAGGATTTGATCCTATATACTTTGAAGTTTATTGGATTCGATCCTATAAAATTTATAGTTTATAGGATTCGATAATATATACTTTGAAGTTTATAGGATTCGATCCTATATACTTTGAAGTTCATAGGATTCGATCCTATAAACTTTGAAGTTTATAGGATTTGATCCTATATACTTTGAAGTTTATAGGATTCGATCCTATAAAATTTATAGTTTATAGGATTCGATCCTATATACTTTGAAGTTTATAGGATTTGATCCTATATACTTTGAAGTTTATAGGATTCGATCCTATAAAATTTATAGTTTATAGGATTCGATCCTATATACTTTGAAGTTTATAGGATTCGATCCTATAAAATTTATAGTTTATAGGATTCGATCCTATATACTTTGAAGTTTATAGGATTCGATCCTATATACTTTGAAGTTTATAGGATTCGATCCTATAAAATTTATAGTTTATAGGATTCGATCCTATATACTTTGAAGTTTATAGGATTCGATCCTATATACTTTGAAGTTTATAGGATTTGATCCTATATACTTTGAAGTTTATAGGATTCGATCCTATAAAATTTATAGTTTATAGGATTCGATCCTATATACTTTGAAGTTTATAGGATTTGATCCTATATGCTTTGAAGTTTATAAGATTCGATCCTGTATACTTTGAAGTTTATAGGATTCGATCCTATATACTTTGAAGTTCATTGGATTCGATCCTATATACTTTGAAGTTCATAGGATTCGATCCTATATACTTCACTTCTGGATCGACCTGAAGGTTTCCAACACTCAGCTTGGTACACACTGAAATCACAATAGCGTGATATATCAAATGAATAAATCCACAAGGGCCGTGATGAGGGTTCGAACTTACGTCCAGGATGATCCTTGCGGAATTATTCACTCATTCTGGTGTTTGAGTCGATGTTATGACCGTAGCGTTTGCGCCTCGAACCTGTCCTCAGACCATGCTCGTCCAAGCTGTGACCGACCCTAGAGAGACACACTCGTCATCCTAAACACACTGTGCAGTCAAAAGTGGTATTTTCTGGCATAAAAACCAGTATTAATGCATATTATAGTTTTGTGTATTGTTATATCTAGTATGGGTTAGGTATTTTGGCGATTATCTATCTATCTATCTATCTATCTATCTATCTATCTATCTATATATATATATATATATATATATATATATATATATAGATATATATATATATATATATATATATAAATATTAAAATATATATATATATATATATATATATATATATATATATATATATATATATATATATATATATATATATATATATATATATATATATATATATAATATATATATATATATATTTAAGCGTTCAAGAGTCTGTTCAAATTAGGAAGCCAGACACCCTGGGGCGCCACAGCAGACACTAGCCCAACTTTGCAAGGTGACTGGTCCGGTGTACAGGACCGACATAGGTTGATCGGGGTCGGCCAGTGGTAATTATTATAAGATATATTATAGAGACCCCCCCCCCCTTTTATATGTTTTGTTTTTGTAATTGCATCAAGTGGGAAATATTTGGTATGTTTTCCTTAGAGTTTTAGTAATTGAAATCGTATATTTTGTGTGACCCATACAGTTGTTTGAGTGCTTCTTAATAATACATAAGAAGAGAGAGAGAGAGAGAGAGAGAGAGAGAGAGAGAGAGAGAGAGAGAGAGAGAGAGAGAGAGAGAGAGAGAGAGAGAGAGAGAGAGAGAGAGAGAGAGACAGACAGACGACGTTCAAATTAATGAGATCGCCTTCGGGCGCCGGCTACAGCCCGGGCCAGCTTGACTTAAGGCCTGGATGCAACCTCACTTGCGAACGTTCGATCCTGTACTACAGCCCCATTCCCCGCAGCTCCCCCAACCCTCCTTTTGCGTAGAAACTCGTGATTTCAAACAATCACAGCTGTTAACTAGATAGAATGACCTAACGATTGTCGTAACCACGTCACCTGAGCCTAAACCTGTACTCAAACTATTAATTCATTTGCGAAATTTTGCGTCGTTAGTACCTCTTCGTAATGGGTAATTACCCATTAATTAATGGGTAATTAATTACTCGTTGTAATGGGTCATTACTGAAGGAGAAAAGAATGGGGGGAGAAAAGTCAATAGGGAAATAATGCTGCTTGGTGGCGTCTGTTTTGAATAGTGTTCTGTAATGAACAGTTCTGCCATTACAGGTTTGTTCTGTATCGACATAATACTTAGTTCTGTAGTCCAAATTACAATCATAATAGGTTTGTTCTGTATCGACATAATACTTTGTTCTGTAGTCCAAAGTACAATCATAATAGGTTTGTTCTGTATTGAACGATATTGCCATAACGGGCTTGTTCCTGCATCGAAGAGTGTTATTATAATAGATTTTGTTATATATATTGAGCAGTGTTGCCCTCAGAGGTTTGTTCTGTATTGAACAGTGTTCATCATCAGGTTCTATAATGATTAATACACCACAACAGTATCTATAATGATTAATACACCACAACAGCATCTATAATGACATACACCACAACAGTATCTATAATGACATACACCACAACAGTATCTATAATGATCAATACACCACAACAGTATCTATAATGATTAATACACCAACAACAGTATCTATAATGATTAATACACCACAACAGTATCTATAATGACATACACCACAACAGTATCTATAATGATTAATACACCACAACAGAATCTATAATGACATACACCACAACAGTATCTATAATGATTAATACACCACAACAGTATCTATAATGACATACACCACAACAGTATCTATAATGATTAATACACCACAACAGTATCTATAATGACATACACCACAACAGTATCTATAATGATCAATACACCACAACAGTATCTATAATGACATACACCACAACAGTATCTATAATGACATACACCACAACAGTATCTATAATGACATACACCACAACAGTATCTATAATGACATACACCACAACAGTATCTATAATGATCAATACACCACAACAGTATCTATAATGATTAATACACCACAACAGTATCTATAATGATTAATACACCACAACAGTATCTATAATGATTAATACACCACAACAGTATCTATAATGATTAATACATCAACAACAGTATCTATAATGATTAATACACCACAACAGTATCTATAATGATTAATACACCACAACAGTATCTATAATGATTAATACACCACAACAGTATCTATAATGATTAATACACCACAACAGAATCTATAATGATTAATACACCACAACAGTATCTATAATGACATACACCACAACAGTATCTATAATGACATACACCACAACAGTATCTATAATGACATACACCACAACGGTATATATATATAATGAACTGTGTACCACTAACGACGTGTTGCAAAAAAGGTGATAACATGTTCCATTCCTAGTTCCCAGGCAGCTAAAATTGTGTTGAATAGAACCGGTTTTGAGAGCGGTTCTCTGCGGGAGATCTGGCTGGGGGGGTTGTGTCGAGGTCCCTGTAACGGGGCGCCGACGGCAGAAGCCGACGCCGGAAGCCGACGCTGGAAGCCGACGCTGGAAGCCGACGCCGGAAGCCGACGCTGGAAGCCGACGCCGGAAGCCGACGCTGGAAGCCGACGCCGGAAGCCGACGCCGGAAGCCGACGCCGGAAGCCACCTTCCCTACTTCTGGTGTCGGGAAGTGTGGAAACGTTTGGGTTTCCTGGTTCTATCTTGACGTCCAGCGGACTCCTGGACACCTGCTCCGTCTGGGGGACGTCTGGACACCTGCTCCGTCTGGACACCTGCTCCGTCTGGGGGACGTCTGGACACCTGCTCCGTCTGGACACCTGCTCCGTCTGGACACCTGCTCCGTCTGGGGGACGTCTGGACACCTGCTCCGTCTGGGGACTCCTGGACACTTGCTCCGTCTGGGGGACGTCTGGACACCTGCTCCGTCTGGGGGACGTCTGGACACCTGCTCCGTCTGGGGACTCCTGGACACCTGCTCCGTCTGGGGGACGTCTGGACACCTGCTCCGTCTGGGGACTCCTGGACACCTGCTCCGTCTGGGGACTCCTGGACACCTGCTCCGTCTGGGGACGCTTAGACATCTGGGGGCCAGGTTCACGAAAGCACTTACGCAAGCACTTACGAACGTGTACATCTTTCCTCAATCTTTGACGGCTTTGGTTACATTTATTAAACAGTTTACAAGCATGAAAACTTGCCAATCAACTGTTGTTATTGTTATAAACAGCCTCCTGGTGCTTCGGAGCTCATTAACTGTTTAATAATTGTAAACAAAGCCGCCAAAGATTGAGAAAAGATGTACAGGTTCGTAAGTGCTTGCGTAAGTGCTTTCGTGAATCTGGCCCCTAGTCCACATGGAAACATTGACGGCAACTCAGGTAGATTCATCACAGATGAGTACCGTAAGCCAACTGATGCAGGAAAATGTATGAACCACTAAGAGTGAATGGGCTGACAGGTATAAGAGAAGCGTCATCAACGCATATGTAGGTCGTGCAATACGTGCATGATCTTCTTGGTAACTCTTCCACCACCAACTTGAACGAATCTGCCAAATTCACACACAGAGATCACACTAACGTGATGCAACAAATGAACAAATCCACAAGGGCCGTGACAAGGATTCGAACCTGCGTCCGGGAGCATCCCAGACACTGCCTTAATCGACTGAGCTACGACAGGGATAAAAGGGTTGAAACCGAAGTTCGACTGAACTTACTGGATCCCGTAGCCTCGTCGAGGCACAAACCAGGATTTTACACAACCCCCCCCCCTGCACCCAAGCTATGTCAATAGACCGTTTCAACCCTGTCGTAGCTCAGTCGATTAAGGCAGTGTCTGGGATGCTCCCGGACGCAGGTTCGAATCCTCGTCACGGCCCTTGTTGATTTGTTCAATCCGCCAAATTGTTGGGAACAACGGTTACAGTAATACAGAATTCGACGAAATCGTAAGTAAGAAGCTACAGGGAGCCGGTCGGCCGAGCGGACAGCACGCTGGACTTGTGATCCTGTGGTCCTGGGTTCGATCCCAGGACCACAGGATCACAGGACCACCGGCGAGAAACAATGGGCAGAGTTTCTTTCACCTTATGCCCCTGTTACCTAGCAGTAAAATAGGTACCTGGGTGTTAGTCAGCTGTCACGGGCTGCTTCCTGGGGGGTGGAGGCCTGGTCGAGGACCGGGCCGCGGGGACACTAAAGTCCCGAAATCATCTCAAGATAACCTCAAGATAGCCCGCCATCTGACTGTGGATAATCAGCGCCAGTGGTGGAAATTCGCCCCCCCCCCCAAGAGTAAACATTGTAGTGTATTATACAAATACATTCACTCAAGCATAGAATAGGCCCCTGTAACGGGTCGGTGGCCGGGTGGACAGCGCTTTAGACTCTTGGACCTAGGGACCGGGGTTCGATCCCCGCACCCGGCAGAGACAGATGGGCATGGGAGTTTCCTTAACCCTGATGCCCCTGTTACCTAGCAGTAAATAGGTACCTGGGAGTTAGACAGCTGCTACGGGCTGCTTCCTGTGTGTGTGTGTATGGAGGAAAAAACAAATTAGTTACTTAGTCGTTAGTAACAGTTGATTAATTGACAGTTGAGAGGCGGGCCGAAAGAGCAGAGCTCAACCCCCGCAAGCACAAATAGGTGAATACAAGAAGGAGGATAAGATCATACGAGACATAACTGTCAGGCAAACTACACATAAGGGGCATAACTGGCCGACCCCTCACAGTGTTCAAGAGAGAACTATCAACATCAGAGGCCCGAGACTGTTCAACACGCTTCCACTACACATAACTGGCCGACCCCTCACAGTGTTCAAGAGAGAACTATCAACATCAGAGGCCCGAGACTGTTCAACACGCTTCCACTACACATAACTGGCCGACCCCTCACAGTGTTCAAGAGAGAACTATCAACATCAGAGGCCCGAGACTGTTCAACACGCTTCCACTACACATAACTGGCCGACCCCTCACAGTGTTCAAGAGAGAACTGGATAAGCACCTCCAAAGGATACCTGATTAACCAGGCTGTGACTCATACGTCAGGCTGCGAGCAGCCGCGTCCAACAGCCTGGTTGATCAGTCCGGCAACCAGGCGGCCCGGTCGACGACCGGGCCGCGGGGACGCTAAGCCCCGGAAGCACCTCAAGGTAAGGCATTGCAAACTTTGCAGTGAAATCACAATGATTCGTCTTTGTTGTTATTTATTATACGATGATCGACTATCTATTCGACTATTATCAATAGTCGATTGACTATTATCATTCGACTTGAGAATGGTCCAGGACGGACCGAAACGTCGTCGTCCCTTCACCTTCTAGTGTGTGGTCTGGGCAACATGCTTTAGCCGCGTTACTGTGACTCATCTCCTGTTTATTATAGGATCTATTATAGGTTTAGGATTTATTATAACAAGCATCGTACATCTTTCCTCACTATGAGACATAACATCTCTACCTCCTCTGACAAACTGAGGCATACTAGTGTAAAGTATCTACACTAGAACACCTCAATACACAGTGTAGTGTACCATCACAAATGCAGCTCTGGAGACTGTGTGTGAGCCCGAAACATATGCTACACCAACCCGTTCTCGCAAATTTAATAAGTCAATATTGACTTATTAGTTGCGTGCATAGGTGACATACTAAACATAATAGTTTCCCTTGAAAAGCGTCATAGAAAACACCGACCTTACCTAACCTACTTAGTATGTTAAAATAAGCATCTTATAGCTTCGGGGTGTGTTCAGTACACTGGACACACCCCGAACACCCTGAATAGACGTCTTGCACTTTATTTGCAAGACGGAGGTATTAAGCAACACCATTCTCAACACCACACCACCATACTGAATCACCAAGACAGTGAAAGATACGACAATATTCACACGGACCGACGATCGTTAGAGGCTTCGTATGCTTGATGCTGTGTTCATTAGGGAGCTGATGCCAGTAATCAGCATCCAGATGAATTCGACTTCGAGAATACAACTGTTTGACCCTGGAAACACAAACCGAAACTGTCTCTATTTTCCGCTTGTTACAACTTGTAATAAAGTTGTTACATTTTGGCTTAACGTATTTATGACGTATTAGAACGTTGTTACAACTTGCTATATTGGTTGTTATAACTGGTTAGGAAGTGTTAAAACTTGTTCGAACGTTGTACAAACGTCGTAGTTTCGGTGTGTGTTTGGCGGGGATGGTCCTTCTTTGACCCAGAGGGAAGATGTAAGACCTGGCGGACAGCTAGAAGAAAGAGTCAAGCAACAATCACCTCAATGTCTGGATTTCTCATTGTAAATTAAGTATATATGTGTACAAATAGAACAGATATACTTAGAACAAAGAATATACGCATTCTGAAGTATACTTTGCTTTTTAGTGTATATTTATACACTTGTAGTATATTTTGGCCCCTAGGTTTTGTTGAGGCTTGAAGAATTCCAAGCGGTTGGTGACGTTCTTAACCCTACAGAGGTTGAGGAGCCTTAAGTCCAACACCAAATTATAGTAGGTAGGTTAGGGTAGGGTAGGGAAGGTTAGGGTAGGGTAGGGTAGGTTAGGTTAGGTTAGGTTAGGTTAGGTTACGTTAGGTTAGGTTAGGTTAGGGTAGGGTAGGGTTGGGTAGGTTAGGTTAGGGTAGGTTAGGTTAGATTAGGTTAGGGTAGGGAAGGTTAGGTTAGGTTAGGGTAGGTTAGGTTAGATTAGGTTAGGGTAGGGAAGGTTAGGTTAGGTTAGGGTAGGTTAGGTTAGGGTACAGTAGATTAGGTTAGGTTAATTCTCACTACGTAATGAACAAGATAACATAATAGGTTTGTTCTAGAATGAACAAAATAATGGAGTTGTTCTAGAATGAACATGATAACATAATGTGTTCAATTATTAGCAAGGTAACGTAACGGGTTCTGTTAAGAACAAGATATAATATTTATTCTTCTATGAAGAACATAATGTAGGTTGTTCTATTATGAATATAACATAATGTGAGTTGTGCTATCACGAACAAGATAACACAACGGATATGTCTTGTGATGAACGAGTAAACATCATAGGTGTTATCTATAATGAACAGGATAACAAAATTGGTTTATTTTCTATAATGAAAAAGATACATAAAACAGTCTTATAATGAAAATGATGTCATAATAATGTTATTCATGTAATGAACAGTATATATATATATATATATATATATATATATATATATATATATATATATATATATATATATATATATATATATATATATATATATATATATATATATATATATATATATATATATATATATATATGAGCAAGAAAATCATTAACTCTCAAATGAGAGACCCATTTTTTTCATTATATTTTAACTAAGAGTAAATTATTTGTTATATTTCACTTCATCATATGAAGAGAAAAATAAAATCAACAGATAGTTATTATTAAAGACTTCCACAAGATATATATATATATATTTTTTTCCTAAGAGGTTGTGGGCGTAATTTCAACTTGAAATGACTGATGGAGAAAACATTGTGATATCTCTTTGTTTTCGTCGTATTATTTCCGTTGGTGGGAGGAGCCAATCACCTCGTTGGTGGTGTTGTCAAGAAGCCTCGTTACCAGTCGCCTGTCTTGGAGATATTTATAACAACAATCTTGAAGAAAGTGGGAGTATGTTGTAATTGTACTCGCATACACACACACATATATATACACACGGGTAGTGGTCCAAAATACCTGGGAGTTCGATTCCCGGTCGATGCAGACACACATGGGGGGCAGGGGTTTCTTTCTCTTGATGCACCTGTTCACCTAGTAGGGGGCAGCTGGGAGTTAGACAACTGCTACCTCGGGATCCATATGTGAGGCGAGACAGTACATTAGATAACCTACAATTAGAAAGGCGGGACCCAAGAGCTAACACACACAGAGATCACACTAACGTGATGCATCAAAAACCCTTCTTTTTCAACCCTTTTACCCTGTCGTAGCTCAGTCGATTAAGGCAGTGTCTGGGATGCTCCCGGACGCAGGTTCGAATCCTCGTCACGGCCCTTGTGGATTTGTTCAAGAGCTAACAGC